CAGGATCATTCGAAAGAGAAGGAATGTTGGAATGCAAGCTTGACCTGACAGAGCCTCCTGATTCATTTAATTTATTTGGCAAGCCTGAGAAAAGTAAAGGACAGACTGAAGATTTTTTTTTTTAAATGGAATCGTTGAACAGAGGCTGTCCCTGAATGATATGATCTTTGGAGAGTACAAAACCCACACAGAGGATGCCTGTTTTCAATCTGCTTGTGAAAATTATCAGAGATCGCAAAGAAAGGAATATACGATAACAACAAGAAGAGAAAGAAAGTAATAAAGGACTATCTGGATTGAACTGGATAGATATGTCTAATTAAAGCAGTAATATAAGTGATGTTTGGACTCGTTCAGAGTTTTGGACTCGTGTGGAGCTTGATGTATGGGTACCCCCAACAAAATTTAAAATTTGGCTGTATAATTTGGAACTAATGTGATTTGGATAATGTGATGTGATTGGCCTGTTAATAAAAATTAATTTTTTAAAAAAGAAAGGTCTTGCGGAACGGATTACATTCAGCGACCGAGGTTCCACTGTATTTATTATTTATTAAGATTTTATACCGCCCTTCATCCATTGATCTTAGGGTAGTTCATAACATAAAAGACAACTTCTTTTACCTTCAGCGTCTGAAGGCTCTTCCCTTGATAACTTCATGCAAGAAGCTACAAAAAACCAAGCAACCCATTTTGAAGTAGCATAATTTCTCCGTGGTCTGTTGTTGGCAGCAAATACATTCATCATCAGTGAGAGGTTACTTTTTGTTCTTATAGAGCAGTGTGGTTCCCTCCAGATGTAGTGGACTACCACTCCCATCAGCCCCAGCCAGCTGGGCTTCTGGTGAGGGATGATGTGAGCTGGAGTCCACAACAAAGCAGAACATTTCTTTGGCTTCCTCTGCTGTAAACCAGCTACACATAGAGACTTTTAGTGTTGCCGCCTTCTCTGATTCCTGCAGTGTTGACGAGGTATATGTGGTAGACCCAGAGCAGAGTAGTGGCTTCTTGTGGCCTATCTTGGCCTTCTAGTCTCTTTGACATCTTCATTCTGTACAAAGCCTGGTCTCAGCCATTTACCGTATTTTTCGCTCTATAAGACGCACCAGACCATAAGACGCACCTAGTTTTTGGAGGAGGAAAACAAGAAAAAAATATTCTGAATCTCAGAAGCCAGAACAACAAGAGGGATCACTGCGCAGTGAAAGCAGCAATCCATCTTGCTGTTCTGGCTTCTGGGATAGCTGCGCAGCCTGCATTCACTCCATAAGACGCACACACATTTCCCCTTACTTTTTAGGAGGGAAAAAGTGAGTCTTATAGAGCAAAAAATATGGTAATTGTCGTAAACTTTCCCCAGAAACATGCATCTCCCAGTCTCCTTAGATTTGTGTACCCAGGACACGTTTTAATGTCCAGTAAATAAAACATAAAAATAAGTTCTAGAATTCAGAGGAAAGAGTGTGTATTGTGTATTAATAGTTCTGTTTCGTCTCTTATCTAAGAAGATTAATGGCGTCCATAATATTCAAACACACACAGGCCTGGGATGGAGTTTATAGAGGAACCATTGTATATTTTATGAGGTAATAAAGAAATAATTATGGTGAAACCGTTCAGCTGGTTTGTGTTTTAAGGTTAAAAGAAATGTTCCCAACTTCAATTGATCATTGAAAAATGTGGCTTTTACTGCGCAGCTGTGAAAATTTTTGGATTTCTACTCTGGTAGGTTTGTGAAAGGCGTAGCTTTTCCCTTCTTCCTTTCAAAGGTGGGTTTGGTGGTTGTTATCTATGGCCAGCTGGACAGCACTAAGCCTCTGAAAGTTGTTTGGTTGATAGTTCTAAAAAAGCTGGGGGGGAAATATTATAGTAGAATTTTGGCGGGGCCTCAGCTCACTTTTCAGCAGTTGCTCCCTTATCTCACCACTGTGGCCCATTTAGAAGGGTTGCCTGACCTTTGAGAGAAGCATTTGGTTGGCTTCAGGAGACTGCCAGGTGAGGAAGAGGTACAAATTCACCTTTACCGAAACTTCTTACATTAGTAATTTTCTGGATCCAAACCATATAAATTATTTTCTCTTTCCCTCCCAGTTTCTGGGTTTATGTGAATAAATATAATTTTATTTCAGTAGAATACTGACCTGGTGGTAATTATGGTAAGTTGGCGTTAAAGTCAGTGAGAACCCCCCGCTCCCGAAACAAGGGGATTGGAGTGGTTTTACTGGGCTGCTTTGTAATATATCCGAATCTTAGGGATGTCTGTCCTTCATCTAGGACTGAAGGCTACTGACCCAAACCTTTCTGAATAAATTTCAGCTCACATGAAAACAAACAAACAGAGCCTTCCTGCTTGAAAGCAGAGACCAGGATTTATTAGCAGGGTGACATTTTCAAGGAATTGAGATGTGAAATGCAATTTCAAAGTGCCCATATTCCAGACTGTCCTGGTGGAGAACCGTTACTTGATAAGAGTTGTAAATAGGTTTATGCAGTACATATCAAAAAGAGGTATGGTGGGGTTCTTCTTGCAAGCTTATACAGGCAATTTTATTTATTTATTTATTTTGTGACATTTATGTAGAGCTGCAGCCAGTACTAGGTCAGTTTTCATTTCTCAGTACAGAAAGTATTGCTCTGATGTGTGGAGATCATTCCTATTCTGATTAGTTCAATACTAGTCCTAATCAGAGTAGACCCACTGAAATTCATGTAGGTGCCAGGCAAAAACGTTCCTTTTTAATCAGGCCTTTGGTTGACCTGATGAACATCCCATACCCTTTTAAAATGTGGCTCTTTTTTTGGGGGGGGGGATATTATTGGGTTATTGCTTTTACATTTATTTTACATACTCTGATATTTTTATGTGAACCGCCCTGAGACCTCCGGGTATAGGGTGGTATATATTCAATCAATCAATAAAATAAATTCACATGATTAACGGATCAGACCAAAGAACAATTTAGTCCAGCCTCTTGTTCCCCACTGTGGCCAGCCAGATGTCCGGGGAGCCCCTGAACAGAGCATGGCACCACAGCACTCTCCCACTGTTGTTTTCCAGCAATTATGTATGCTGTTCATGATTGATTAATTGCCTGCTTTGTTTCGTTATCATGTGAAGTGCATGGTCTTTTGCTATGGGGAGTTCCAGGAGCCTTGTCATCTTATTTTTTTCCCCAATGGAATTTTTATTGTTTTCCTTACATATTCTTTTCCAACAAATTGTAATAACACCATACATTCCCTTTGACTCTGCCGAGTCGCGACCCCCCTCCCTCCCCACAACTGGTAATTTTATCCCCTTTCCATCGCGCACATCATTCTCATATTAGTACTATTATACATTGGAGGTATTATGTCAATCCTGCTAGTGTCTTGACCTCTTTACAATTCTTCTTTAAATATTCAATAAATTTACTCCAGTTATTTTGGTATCTTTGACCTTCCTGGTCCCGGATCCTCCATGACAGTTTGGCAAGTTCTGCATATTCTGTCAACTTCGCCTGCCACTCCTGAATAGTTGGTATATCTTGTACTTTCCATCTTTGGGCCAGAAAGGTTCTCGTGGCAGCTGTAGCATACATGAACAAATTTTGATCCAGGAGCCTTGTCATCTTAGATGAGAAACATTAAACGGTTGGGCAAACCTGTGCGTACTGATCGACTGCTTTCTTCCGTTGCCCCCTTTGGCCATTGTGTGGCGTGATTGCCCCTGAAAACTCATTGGATCAAATTGACAAAAAGTGAAAACAAGGGTTAGGATTCATCTAAGGAATCTTGAGAAGTGACCAGAAGTGATTTTCAGACCTCCAAAGATAAATACAGGAGGTAGGAGTCTTTCCCCAATCCTCTTAAGTTTTTGACATCTGCTGTGCCCATCTCCTCTTTTACTTGTGCTAAGTCTAAAATTATATAAATTACAGTGGTACCTCGGGTTAAGAACTTAATTCGTTCTGGAGGTCCGTTCTTAACCTGAAACTGTTCTTAGCCTGAGACACCACTTTAGCTAATGGGACCTCCTGCTGCTACCGTGCCACTGCCGCACGATTTCTGTTCTCATCCTGAAGCAAAGTTCTTAACCCGAGGTACTATTTCTGGGTTAGCAGAGTCTGTAACCTGAAGCGTCTGTAACCCGAGGTACCACTTTATGTGTATCTGAAGAAGTGTGCATGCATACAAAAGCTTATACCCAGAACAAACTTAGTTGGTCTCTAAGGTGTTACTGGACAATTTTATTTATTTATTTTGACTGCATCAGACCAACACAGCTACCTACCTGAATCTAAAATATGCCAACCTACTTGTTTCCAGATGTTACAGTGAACTCATGGTGTTCCATTATTCACATTGCTGTGACCTACCCTAGGACTTTCTAGTGAAGGGTGGGTAATAATAAATAAATAAATAGCCAGCCTCTTGGGTCTAATTATGTGGTATGGTTGCACTCAATATATGACCACTAGATGTCACCACTTAGCTTATTGAAGTTATCAAAAGAATGAGTATTATAACTTCAGTAGCAATATTTTTGTTATCTTTTTGTGTTACATTTTTGCTTTTTGGTTCTTCTGCATGATATACATGCAGGACTGCCTGCTGAGGGCCTGAAGGACCCTGTCCTTGCCTCTCTCCACCTGTTTTGGGGGGGGGGCTTGACTTCACAAGGACTGCGGCTGCTGCTTAGTAGAGAGGGCTCCTCTTTTAAATTGTTTTTAATTTTTATCTGTGTTGTTTTAAATGAGACCATCTTGGCTGTGAACCCATGGAAGACCTGCACTCTGTGTTGCTGGCCTTTTCCCATCTGGCCTGGGAGAATGGTGCGCTGACTGACTCCAGCTACAAAAGCTGAGGCTGTTGAACAGATTCTTGGGCTGGAGTATTGTTTATGGGGGTTGAGAGAGCTGTTGCTATAATGTGTCTTTTTTCCCTTCCTTTTTTTTTTTTTACTTTCTTTTTTGCTGTATTGTTGAGCATAGTTTCAACCATGAAAAGGCGGCATACAAGCAAAATGATGATGATGATGATGATACATAGCTGGAATGAACATATATGTGTCACCAGGAACTGTTATTCATCATCATCATCATCATCATCATCATCATCGCAAGAGTGGTGCATGTTCTGGTTATCTCCCACTTGGACTACTGCAGTGTGCTCTATGTGGGGCTACCTTTGAAGGTGACCCGGAAACTGCAATTAATCCAGAACGTGGCAGCTAGACTGGTGACTGGGAACGGTTGCCAAGACCACATAACACCAGTCTTGAAATAATTACACTGGCTCCCAGTACGCTTCCGAGCACAATTCAAAGTGTTGGTGCTGAACTTTAAAGCCCTAAACGGCCTTGGCCCAGTATACCTGAAGGAGCGTCTCCACCCCCATCTTTCAGCCCGGACACTGAGATCCAGCGCCGAGGGCCTTCTGGCGGTTCCCTCACTGCGAGAAGCGAAGTTGCAGGGTACCAGGCAGAGGGGCTTCTTGGTAGTGGCGCCCGCCCTGTGGAACGCCCTCCCATTAGATGTCAAAGAAATAATCAGCTATATGATATTTAGAAGACATCTGAAGGCAGCCCTGTTTAGGGAGGTTTTTAATGACTGATGTTTTAATGTATCTTTAACTTTCCATTGGAAGCCACCCAGAGTGGCTGGGGAAACCCGGCCAGATGGGCAGGGTATAAATAGTAATTATTATTTTTCTTATTATATTTATTAAATTTCTATACTGCCCTTCATCTGAGGATCACAGGGTGGTTAACAATATAAAAACACAAAAATACATAGCATAGTAATACACTGACATAGTTCTATGTTTACTCTTAGACAGCGGCTGTTCCAGGCAGTCTTAGATCCTGCAGCACTTTCTTCTCCAAAGCTACTTACCAAGAAGGCTTCCGACCAAGTCCATATTTTGAGTTCCTCGGTTGGTCTTGTTTTAAAACAAGAACAGCAATCTGCTGATACCTTTATAGTCAAAGAGACCATTCCAGCCCGTAGAAAGCACTTAAACCCATCTGAAAAGGAAAGTAAACAGATCAAAATGGAGCAGGAGGTGATCCCATGTGGCTCTCAAGAGGACCAAGAGACTCTTCACACAGAAGCAGCAGGCACCAGAAACCCTGAAACGCCTTCCACATCTGCAATAAAAGTTATTCCAAAGGGTAAGTTGTTGGTTTTGTTCTATCGTTATTTTTTCTGTATGCACCAAGGTTCCACATTGATTTTTCATCTGTACTCAGATGGGTCTTTTGGGGTTGGATTATTAAGGAGTTTACCGTATTTTTCGCTCTATAACACGCACCTGACCATAACACGCACGTAGTTTTTAGAGGAGGAAAACAAGAAAAAAATATTCTAAACGAAACAGTGGGTGTATGTTTTTTGTGGTTCATGCTGTGGCCACAGACATGTGATCTGACGGTGAGTTTGGGGTGACCCAGTGCAAAAATCCTGAGGATCCATGTGGATCTGTGCTTTGTAACCACGTTTTAAGTGGGGAGGGAAGGAAAAGCACTCAAGGGACAAGGAGCACGCGTGGAGGGTGTGGAGAAGGATGCTGCTAATAATGCAGGAGAGGTTCCTCTCCGGCTTTGCTCCTTTAAAACAAGCAGGCTCTGCTTCTCTCCCTCCTCCCTGGCAAGGAAACCACGATAGTAACCACTCTGAGACAAATCAAGAAAAATTGCAACCAACACTCTCCCCCAACAAGCGCAGTGAGGTCAAAACACACACACACACACACACACACACACACACACACACACACAGAACTGGCCCTAAAGGCGCAGGGTGCTGGAAGTCGCAGGGGTGTTGGGGGAGTGAATGGGAAGCAAGAGAAGGAGAAGGAGCCCTCTCACACACACAGACACACAGAATATCAATCCTAAAGTCGCAGGGCGCTGGGAAAGCGCAGGGGGGCTGGGAGAGTGAATGGGAAGCAAAAGAAGGAGAAGGAGCCCTCACACACACAGAGACACACAGAGTGTCAATTCTAAAGTCGCAGGGGCGCAGGGAGAGTGAACGGGAAGCAAGAGAAGGAGAAGGAGCCCTCACACACACAGAGACACACAGAGTGTCAATTCTAAAGTCGCAGGGGCGCAGGGAGAGTGAAGGGGAAGCAGGAGGAGGAGAACGAGAAGGAGAAGGAGTCCACACACACACACACACACACACAGCCCCTACAGTGGCTAATCCAAAATCGGACAGCAAAAAACTGCAGGCAGGGACAGAGAGCAGGGGTTGTTTTAAAGCAGCCAACTCCCGCTCTGCTTCTCTCCCTCCACGGCTCCGCTAGCTGACAGGAGCCGCTTACACCCGCTTTGCTGTTTCAAAGCGAGCCACGGACTGCTCACGACTGCAGCAGATTCCCCCGCCATCTGTAGGCATTCGCTCCATAACACACACAGACATTTCCCCTTACTTTCTAGGAGGAAAAAACTGCGTGTTATGGAGCGAAATTTACCGTAAGTTTTTGGTTCAATCATGAGTTTACTGAAACATTGACTCCAGTGAAATGTAAGGTTCATAATCATTTCTTAAGTTTGTTTCACAAACTGCTTTCTCTCTCGGATTCTGAAACAATCCCTGTGCATTCTTTATGGCACCTTAAATGGAAGTGTGTACAAAGTGATCTCTCGTCCTAATGGTTTAGCTTCCTGCTGGGTTCATGCTTGTTGTGTGACGGTAAAGAGGAGATTGGAAGTGTCCATTCCCTTTAAAAATTAACCACAGTTTAGCATTTTGTTGACACCTAAATTGTCGTTAATCTTAGTGTTAGTGGACACCAGGCAACTTCAGAAACTATGGCTTGCACTTTCCTTATTTCAGCTTATCTTGGTTAAGAGTAACCACAGTTTGTCTGGGTAGAGATGATAGGGCAAGTTATGGTTTATCTTAAAAATCTGGAGCAGAAGTAGAAGTTTCTGAACTCATTCTTGTGGTCATTCTTGAGGAACAAGCCTGGGGAAAGGTTAGGTTCATTCTTGTAATGTTAAGTATAGTTTACCATAGTAAAAAAGCCCATAATTCAATTATCATGCTACAGTGGCCAAAAAAATGAATCTGGTGCACTCAGCCATAACTATGCCTTCTGCAACAGTCAACTAGTATCAGCTAGTGTGGCACTCACTCCTAAACGACAATCTTCTTGATGATGCAGCACATAGGTGCTTTAAATAGTGCTCAGCCATCTGATGGAAAGGTATTCCTATTAACACAGAAAATGTTAAATATATTAAGAGAAGATAGAGTTGTGTAATAGAATGGTTTCTACTGTGTTTAAATTCTTGCTCAGTGTAACATCCTGTTTCTTTTTGGGTCTTAAGAAAAAGGCAGTAAGATGCCCACCAGATGATAATGTTAAAAGGATTCTGCTGTAGTTTTTTCAGTTGAACAGTTTTCGGTTAAAAAATGGACTTTGATAGAATCCCTAGTCAAGTGGTGCTTTGCAGTTGAAACCTCCTTAATTCCAAAAGAAGTGGAAAATTCAGAGTTTACACCAGTGTGGTGTAGTGGTTAAGAGCGGTAGTCTCCTAATCTGGTGAACTGGGTTCGATTCCCCACTCCTCCACATGCAGCTGCTGGGTGACCTTGGGCCAGTCACACTTCTCTGAAGTCTCTCAGCCCCACTCGCCTCACAGAGTGTTTGTTGTGGGGGAGGAAGGGAAAGGAGAATGTTAGCCGCTTTGAGACTCCTGAAGGGGAGTGAAAGGCGGGATATCAAATCCAAACTCTTCTTCTTCTTCTTCTAAATTGCCAGTAATAAAGCCTTTACATTCATGATATTCCATTGTTGTTCTTGCATATTTTAATGGGCATTTTTTTGGGCTGCCTTAATATGAAAAGGGAAAGAGTGAAAACTTTCTAACTCCATCTTGTGAATTGAGTCATAAATGTGAAATGCAACGATATCCTTTGTACACTACCTTATATCATATATAATTATCTTTGCTAATTTATATGTTATTTGGAATACAGTGTGGGAACCCAGTTGGCCTAGAAACAAAACATTATTGCTTAGATGAATTTGGCATTCCTGATCTCTTTTTCCGGTGTTATTTATAGAAGCGTCAGAACACATTTTAATAATTAACATTTCAAGAAATGCTACATTAGTAAGTGACGTCCCAGTCTCTATGCCCATGAAAAATAAACTTTACTCCCTGCTCCCAAATTCCAGTCCAATTATTCCAGTTGGAATAATTCCAATTATTATATAGGAATAATTACTGTGTTTTAAGGATATTGTATTTCTAATGGTGTTTATCGTTTTATGTTGGAAACCACACAGAGAATAATGCTTTTGGATGGCTTTATATAAAAACAGCAAGTAAATAAATAAAATATTCCCCTTCCTTGTCTGAAGCATAAAGAAAATAAATGCAGTACTATATTCCATTTTTATTTTCTGTCCTCTGGCTTTGTACTACTCTGTTTTGCCTTCCCCCTTTATGTTTCAGAAACATACACTGGACCTTTTAAAGCTTTGACTTACAGTGGAATAGCTGAGCTGAATATCTGTATACAATTAATTTGTTGCATAAGTTGCCTTATACAAATGTTCTCTAGGTGACATAACACAGATAAATAAATAGACAAAATTAAAGCATGACACAGCAACTCAATAAAGCCATAAATCAATAACGCCAAACCAGCGGTAGGACAATAAAATCCAGCTATAAAATCCAACATTGCCCTGCTCCACGTGCTAAAGGGAGCCTGAGATGACCAAACAAGAAAGGCAGTTAAGCAGATATGCAAGGAGAGGGTAGGTAGCACCCATTTATTTAATTAAAACAGTTCAGAATAATAAGGATCCAGTGTAAGATAATTGTATGCTAGGAGCCAGATCCTGAAAGAACTCATAACTCAGAAGCTATATTCTATGGGTACGAAGCCTGCGGGGAAGCTGGAGGGGCCACAGTAAACTAGGCTAAAAGCTTCCATTTTGGAGAAGGGATAAAAAGGAGGAAACGCCACCATATATAGTTCTATAAAACACAGATCTTGCTAGTGGGAGAATCAGCTTAGTTTTAAAAAGGGTGGGCTTAGCCTTCTTTAAAAACACCCCTCAACCTTCATAAGCTCTGTTCCCCTATATTATAAATGT